ATTGGTCAACATGGGAATGTCGATTTTCAAAAACTCATCAAATTTATCATCAATTTTCGACCTATTGTAATTGAGGAAAAAAATTGAGAAAATTTGGAGGTATTGGAATTAAAGTCAAATTACGTTTCCATCAATAGTATAAGTATTTTCATCGCAGGTTAGGTAAATAAAAATTCAAAGGTAAAGAGGCTTTAACACGTAGTTCAATGGGGGAAAAAAGGTTGCCAAACTTATGGAGGGGAGTGTATGTACTGTATGTACAATGTTAAAAAACTCGGTTGAATATCTAGGTACACTTGGTGAACATTTTATGGCTCATGATGCACATATTTTGCCCGTGGTGTAATCTCGTATACGGAGAAATATAATGCTGTAATAAACCAACCCCTATTCATCAATAGAATTTACAGCATTATATCATTGATCTTTAGTCCTTGACCACACATTGTAGTTAAATAAGAAAATATTGGACTCGAAGGGTCATTTAAGGATTATATACTAATCGCTTTGACATCAATTGTGTTCTACTTAATCCAGATTGACCGTCAAGGATTATCTAGATTAGATTTGGTAGGAGAGTTTACTTGTATCCTCGGCGATTAAATAGCTTTGTCAATACAAAAGTACTTTTAGCATTTATATCATATCTTATTTATTGTATCTATATAAAACCCTAAAAGAGGATAATTATTAAACTGTATGGTTGTAAAGAATTATCGGATTATATTTAAATCAAATATTAACTTATAATTCTTGACGATCAAGGATACAGTGTACTCTATTCCCAATCACATATTATATATATTTATGGTTCGCATGATAGCCAAAGCCTGTCAAACTTGAACGGATCTAAGGAGCAATTTGCCCGTGCTTAGGATGCATAAGGTATGTTACGTAAAACATGATAACTAGTTTTGATATTAATTAATTTATTTAGATGAAATAATTTATAACATTTACGTCACTCCGGTTATGGTTATGTCGCATGCCGATCTACTGATCTTATTCATCATTTTCAATTGAACACGGCACAGAAAAAGGGGTCTTATCACAGACCTTTTCATTTTTTTGATTTGTTTTGTTTTTTCTTAAAAAGCACAAAGAGACCTAAAATTAGCCATTGTCGTATCTCGACAATTTTTACTTGCAGATAAAGACAAAAAGACAGATTTGAATTTAGCACATTTTTCTCTCAATCTTGGGCACATTTTTGTTCTGTAGCACTATTTTGAGTTAAGTGGACAGACGGTTTACCAATGTTGAGGGTTGATTTATGTAAAAAAATAAAATAAGTTAATATTTACTTTTAATAAGCAATTACGAAGAATATACTATATCGTAGGCATGTCTTTCTCCTCGGCAATATATGTTTTATCCCAAGATAATCATTTCGGTTTCGTAATAATTGAGAAACTGGAGAGAATATGTTTCTAAAATAGGAGTTCTTCATTTAATTTGTTATCTAATTTGGGAAATTACTGAAATGAAAAAGAAATTATTCGCATAGAAAACAGCATTTGAAGTTCAGAGATCGATAAAAGTTAATTACCACTGATTTTCATAAAGTGTATGTTATAAATAACTCTTGGATTAAAAGATGGCGTATTGTTGAAAATTCTATCAGAAATTAATGGATAATGTCAGATGTCATGCAAAAAACTTCGCCATCTTTCATTGGCATTGCTAAAAACTTGACATATTAATAGCTGGAAAATCTATTTTGATAATCTAGTGTCAACTCTGATGTGGTCTGTTTGAGGTGTTTTCTCGTGTCAAACGATAGGTCAGTACTTATCAATCCATTGGAAATACTATGAAGATCAAATTATATAAAGTAAAACTTCATTTTGCCGATACTTGCATTTAGTTCATTTAATTTAATGATTTTTGAAGAAGTGCTGGTTGAATCTGTCTGAAATACAAATCATGGCACTACTACATGTATGGGAATAGGATGACCCTGCCTTTTAATGTTCCTTTTGTGATTAACCATGAGATTTTAGGTTGTCCCAACAAATAAACCAAGGTTAAAGAATCTAAGAATTGCATCAATGGAGATCTGGCCCCATTAGCCTACGTCATGGAAAACGGATTTTTATAACTCATAACTAGGTACAAATCAAAGTTATTATTGTAGAAAACTTTCCACTGAATTCAAATATGCTTTTAAAAAGCCTTCGGAAAGAAAAAATAGTCTTTTCAAACTTGAATACCCCGGCAAGTGTTTTAAAAGCGTGCTAAATGAGACAATGCCCAAGTGATATAGCTTGACAACACTCTAAAAAACGACTCTCTACATCAGTTCATATCCAGCAATCATAATGTTAAATCGGACATCACCTTATCTCCTAACTGGTACTATTACTGAGATTTCGTATCAACACTTTAGTCTACTAAATTAATGTTTAAAACTCATATGTGAGCGTTAATGCAGGGTATTACAAATTTCCCTTAAACTTGAATATTCATCAGTTTTAGAGGTTCACTTTTCATCATTTCCCTTATGTACAGGGTGTTCCATATGTTTCAGGAATGATGCTGTGTTTTATTGGTTTTCTTTTCAATCTAACTGAATTTTTGACACAATGTGTCTAAACATGTTTTGAATAAGTTGGGAAAGTTTCATATTGTGAAGTTCAGTAGTCTTTATTATATGGTTGCTATAGTAACTTAGGGGTAGGGTAGGTGGAGCAGGTGTAACAATGCGCAAAATATATGAAATATTTGTAAAAATAGTTTTTTTTGTACGAAGTGTTACTAAGTATTAGGTTGTCAGAGTTGGATCAAACTTGTCAGTAATTAAACAAAAATGAAGGTGGATTCCAAGAAAGTAAAAAAATGTCATCACCCTTGATCACATCACAATTTAGACACCTGTCATGTCATGAGTCACAAAGGAGAATAAACACAGGTCATTTTGGACGAGCGGCCATCTTGAAAAGTGAAAAAGTCATTAGCAAAAGAAAACTTTCACAACAAGTGACAAGACATGACATGTGTGGATAACAGTTTCCTGCAGCAGACACAATTAAACTCCTGACGAATGCACATGGGGACTCAATGATGGTAACCTCTAGTGTATGACTGGTACAAGCGGTTCAAATCTGGAAGGGAAACTGAGACCGATTATCCAAAATGTGGACATCCGGGAACAGTAAGAGCGCTAACTAATGCAGAAGGGATAGATGCTGAAATAATGATGATGGCTAATAAAGGGTGTGATAACATTTTTTGTTTCCAGGAATCCACATTTATTCTTTTTAATTTTCAACAAGTTTGATGCAACTATGACAAATTAATACTTTGAACACTTCATACAAAAACTACTATTTTCACAAAAATGTCATGTTTTGCGCGTTGTTACACCTGCTCCACCTACCCTACCCCTAGGTTACTATAGCTACCATATTATTCAGTCTACTGAGTTTCATGATATAAAACTTTTCTAACTTATTCACAACATATTTGGACACATTTTGTCAAAAAATCAGCTAGATTGAAAAGAAAACCAATAAAGTACAGCACCATTCCTGAAACATATGGAACACCCTATATGTGATAGTTATACAAATTAAAATATGTCCAGTAAAAGAAAATATTATCTGCCCAACACAAAAAAAGATATTTCACTTTTTGTAGTTTTTCAACATAGGGTCTATGGGGAATCTCCCCGACCTAGAAGTCACATTTTCAAAGAAAATTAAATTTTCAAAGTTGATAAACCCTTTTCAAAACCTCATTTTTAGATGTAATTTTATATGTAGATTCCAAATATGACACCAGTTTGACTGAATTGTGAATTTTTAATGACGTAAATCAAGATTATTTTACTCGCATCTAGAATATTGAATACTAAGCAAGAAGCGCAGAGCGGCCATTTTGAGAAATGACGGACATTTTTCCATGTTCATAATGAATCTTGATTAATCCTAACGTTTTTATATGATTTAGGTTATCTTGCATTCCCTTGCGTCACTTCCGTCCATCTGCTAGCTCTTGTGATGGAAAGGATTTGTAAAGGGAGTGGACGGGGATCAGTAAGGCTTCGAGCAAGACTAAGATTGTTGATATCAAAAAAGGATTTCAAAATAGTATACTACAAAAGATTAAGTTTCTGTTGATCACTCAACACTTTTTATTTGATATTATATCTTAGTACTATAAATAACAAGGCGACCGTAATTTTCCTACGTTCGATTCGCCGCAGAAAGTTTAGTTAAATTAATAATAGTTTATTTCTGTGTCACAAGTTAACTGAAATATGACAAGTAAAATACACGTGTAGTCACTGAAGTAACTGATTAAATGCTCTGCGGTCGACTTACAGCTGCCTGCGACAAATGTGTCTGGGGTGTTAGATGTATTCATAAAAAATTGTAATCAATAAGAGCCGAGTCACTGGGAGCAAGGTGGTTGCAGTTTTCGCACTTTGATAGCTCACACTTCACAGTGATTATGGTCAACTCAATACATCTGATAAACACTACATGAAGTGTTTTCTATGCAATGATCAAAAGCCTCCAAATTGTTTGGAATAGAGCATGCAATGTTTTTCAGTTTCAAGCAGGTTTTAGTACATTCTGACCAATTGTATTTTCAGACTTATTCATTTCATGACTACATGTATGTAATACTGACCCCCGGGTACTGACCTTAAATCTGTTTAGCATGTCTTTAAAGCTCAAATATAAATCCCATAATAAATTTATGCTTACAAAACATTTCCAGACGTTTGACTTATTAATCGTCATAGTGATCGAATAAATATTATCGTCTGCGATCCAAATCATCGGTTCTCTTATTTAAACACGAATCCAATAATAACGTATTACGTAACGTAATAATAGCAACCTTCTGAATATAGAACTTCAAAAGGGTCAGGCTAAAGATTATCGTATATACGATCCAACTCACAGTTGACATCAACTATGTTCCATGTAATCTAACTTGACCACAAAGATAATCTAATTATATTTGCAAAAAGTTAAATCTTTGTTAAACTTAAATCCTAGTTGAGCTTAAAGTTGTTTACCAAAACAGTAACTTTTTAAAGTTGTATCATAGGTTAAGACCGTCAAACGTTAACAGATCTTTGGAGGGATTCATCAATCCTAAAGATGAAAAAAGTATGTAAAACACTATAATTAATTGATACATTAATTTATTTATTTATTTATTTATTTATTTATTTATTTATTTATTTATTTAGATAAAATCATTAATAACAACAGCACTTAACAGACTTTGGTTTTAGGTAGTTAATTTTGCGCTTGTCGATTTCAAGAGACAAACGGGTGAACATATCATGTTTAATCATATTTCAAATTAGGCTATTTATAATTTCTAAGTAATAACATTTAAGAATGTCAATTCATTAAATAATGACACTAGTTCTCCTATTTTTACAATTTTTAACCAACGGCTTTCTCGAAAGAAGCTAATAGAAGGCCATGGTATATCATGATGAAGAATCCCTTCAGTTTTTTTAACTGTTATTATCATGATGTTAGACTATGGATGTAACCATGGTAACACTATATTTGGCATATCTTAATAATCAACTTGCATGAATTAATAACAGAGAATATATCAAAATTATGCAAAACCCTTATATTATACGTCTTTTCATCAAAATTTAGTAAAATTGAAGACTCTGTCGACACACTTGTGACCAAGTTGCTATGGCAACCATTATTTTACTGTGATGAAGTTGTATTTTTTGGGACTTTACAAATGGATTTACAATCATATTTCTAACCCTAATGTTTAGAAGGGGGATCTTATCACCCTGCCTTCGACTTTCTCCGTTGTTTAGCTTAAAGCAATAGATGAATGACACATATTTGGGAAAAATCAGGGTGATTGGGGTAGAGGGGCAAAGTGTTGATAGTCGGAAGTTGATGCCAATAAAAATGAAATTTTGACAATGTTATCAATATTTGAAGGTAAAATAAGTTCATCGCTAAGTATTCGCGAATCGCATACTCTTCACAAATGAGGAAAAATGTTTTTCAAAAACTATTTGAATATTAAATATTTTCTGAATGTTCCTGAATATTACAGAGTGTTACTGAATATTTATGCAAGGGTGGATTATGATAACCCTACCCGATTTTTAAAATTTATATGCCGTTGCTAGACGGTTGTTAGGCAAAATCATAGACCGAAATTATATTTGAATTACAAAAGCCAAACATTTATATATATTCTTACTAAATCCCTGATTGGTATCTGTGGATCAGTGTATCTATAAATACAAATGGTTAAGACAAACGCAAGATTCATTATTCAATTCATCGTTCCGTTGATCGTTGATTTCAATGGGGGGGGGTTCTGCTTTCTTCATGAATATGCATAAGTTCAGTTATAGAGAAAAAATGTCTTTGCTTTTTTTATTTGAAAAAATAGTAAATTATTATTTTAGGAAATAAAGCACTTCGGCCCGCAAAAGCTTTTATTTTGAAATATGATAATTTACTTGTCTGTTTATCATATCAGAATCGTAACAAAGACCTCAATTTTATAATTTATGTCAAATATTTGACCTCATATTTTATTCTGCCAATTGCAAAAGATGTCAATCGTTACGTGATTTCGGTCTTTTAACAATGCACAGAATAAAATTTTCGGTCATATTAAGTGGTTAGAAAATATGATTAAAGCCATGATGATGAAAGAAGGGATTGTTTTCAAAAAATCTTCCATTTACCCCCTCAGTTCCTATTCCGAGGTAACGCATGGGAGTACAGTCCTAAGAAAGCCATTTTACTTTTTTTTAAATTAGAAGCGGAAGAGGTTCCGTTAGTAAGCATTGGACGTAAGAGAATTTTCCTTAATATAAGTTTTTAAAAGTGGAATATTAGATCACTACTGAATTGCCTGGTAAAAGCTGATGTGAATCAGTTTGGTAATAGTATAACATGCTGAAGACTAGCGCTGTTACCGGAGTTTGTAGGCATGTGGTGTTACATTACAAAACATTTTCAAAATATGAGTGAAATTGTTGATTTATTTCTATTGTTTTGACGACCTTCTTGTGCAACACCATGTTGTAAACATGATACAAACCTGCAAAGGGAAACGAGCTATAACATCATCCATCCGAAAGGAACCGATTTGAGATCGATCGATGGATCGATGACTTTAAAAATAGAAAAACAAGGCATAAACATGCACAATTTCACCAATTGCCAATTGTTACAGACGGCGAGCGCCGAATTCGAGCACCAACTTGTGATGAACACTGTACACGTAGTATTGTTTTACCCTGTGGCTTACCTATTCCTGACATTCCTAGTCATGAACATGTATCAAACTTTACAGAACTAAAGGTTCATTATAGTTGTTTATGGGCAAAGGATAGGTATCGATATGGTGAACTGAATTCGACAATGTTTTTCTATTCAACCAATTATTGAAAACATTCTGTAAAAAACACGATCCTTTAAGTAATGTTGACTGATTGGCAACAATTTAGTGCAAAAATTATAATATATATTTTATATAACTGTTTTTGTTAACATTTTTTGTTTTTTAGTGCAATTGTTTTTTTTTCTTTCTACCAATTCTTGAGAATGAAATAAAATGTCTTTCCGAAAATTGTTCGAACAAAATAGCATATACAACATTTTTCTTAGACCTCTCAATATTAAAGTTATACAAAGGGAATTTGGTTGATTTAACAAAAACCATTCAAATACTTCAAACAAAACCCCCCAAAATAGATAAAAATTAATAGTCTGGGAGCAAAAGTCCAAATAAGAGGTTCCGTGTCCTTTTTAGAGGCGAGCTAAGCGACATACATTTTTATGAACTATACGTGATACTTACCAAGAAAAATGATGTTGGCAATTCTGGATCCGCGACGGCGTTGCTATGGTAACCAAGTGAATGAGCCACGCCCACTTTTAGGGGCTCTTTTCAGTGTTTGGCCCCTATCTCCTTCATTATTGCTCAGATTTCGATGAAATTCACACCAAATGAAAGGTAATAGATGATGCAATCAAAATATATTAAGTTAACAATTCTTAATCCGATGCAGCGTTACTATGGTAACAAAGTAAATATGCCACACCAACTTTTAGGGGCTCTTTTCAGTGTTTGGCCCATATCTTTGTCATTATTGCTCAGCTTAAGATGAAATTTACACCAAATGAAAGATAATAGATAAAACAATCATATATTTTATAAAATATGCAATTAGGGTGATTTGCATCTTAATTATGACGTCATAACTGTTTGTTCTTGCATATTTTATCTTAATCATGATGTATAACTCTGAAATTACTGTCTTTACAATGATCAGTGGTGCTTTCAACTAGTTTATTTCTTTTAGTTGAGTTTATAAGTTTATTTCATTCATACATTTATGGTCATAGAAAAATTGAATGAATGTAATGAGAGATGTCTAATTCAAATAAAAATGTTCAATTCACACTGTTGCTATGGTAACATCATGTAGCAAAACTGTCCGCTGTAAACAAGAATTATTTAGGAAATGTTACATTTTGACCAGTTGACTGACATGTATTTTTTTTTTAATTTGATGACAAATAATTTAATAACTATAGAAAATTATTTAATTTGGATTGTGTTATATTATTATGGCATAAGGGCAATTATTAATCAGGGGTTCAGCCAGCTTTCAGTGGGGGGGGGGGTGATCGTGGCATAAGCAACCCAAAAAATGTTTTTAAGATGAATTTTACAAAAATTGATGCAACTTCCTTCAAAATTGAGCTAGAAGCTTCAAGTCAAAAGCATTTAAACCCAATAATGACAACATATTGAATGCATTAGTATTTTTTCTAACCTGGGTAGCATTACTAAAATTGGTTTTTGTCCTCAAAAGCATCCTAGTTGTCCCCAGTGGCCCCCAAAAACAAATTAGTGCTGCTATGATGCCCTCAAAAGTATCCTAGTACCCCTCTGTCAGAGATCACGATAGTTGAAAAAACTTGTTAGCCATTGTGGCTAAATCTTCCAAAAAAAATTTCGCCAACCAAAATATGAATTAGCCATTTTGAAAAACCGTAAAAAAGGGAACATTAAAAATGATGCAATGTCGATGACAGTTTCACTTTCAGTTTCACTTTTCAAAATAATATTCAGAAATAAAAAAAACGTCAATTAAAATTGAATGTAAAGCATCTGCCGCGAATGTGATCGGCATTTCACATAGTCTGCACGGTGTAATATCACCAATTCGTTTACCTTGTGATATCAGAGTCCCAAAATACTTCCAAACTGCTGACCTTTTCGACTTAGATGCCGGCTCGATTTTTCAATTTCTTTCCTACATCCGGCATACTGATAATGCACTCGATTTGCGAACGACGATGAAGAAATTTACGAACAAGCATTACCATCTACCTGAAATCGCGGGTCCGTTAATAACACTTTTCAATGCAAAGAAGTGTAAACTAGGTACGAGGTAAGTGAAAATATTTAATTTTTCAGAACGAAGTCGGAGGTGTTCCTCGCTATTTATGCACGTTTTTATGCATCTAGGGAAGGAATCTATGTACCGATATTAACCCTTTCTGTCCCCTGTCCCGAACCGAAGCATCTGGACCGAAATTCGGTCCAATATCGGGAAACCGTGACACCTCTAATTCGCCATAACTGCGAAATACCTTTACATATTTTTCGCCACCTCTTTCGAAAATTCGCGATTGGCGAATGGCGAACGTCTACCGTGATCTCTGTCTCTGTGACCAATGACATCAACCCAGTGGCCCCCTGTGGCCCCAAAATGTTGCCCAGAAAAGCATCTCAGAGGCCCCAAGTGGCCTCTAAAAGCACTCCAATGGCCCCAAACTCATTCTAGAGGCCCCAAAAGCTTCCCAGTTGCCCCCCAGTGACCCCCAAAAAGCATACTAGTGACACCCAGTGGCACTAAAAAGCATCCAAGTGGCCCCATTATGCCCCTTAAAAGCATCCTAGTGGCCCCCGAAAGCATTCTATTGACCCCTGTGGCCCCAAAAAGCATTCCAGCGGCCTCTAAAAGCCCCCTGTGGACCTCAAAATCATTCTAGTTGCCCCCAGTGGCCCCATAAGCTTCCCATTTCCCCTGCCAGTGGCCCCCAAAAAGCATACTAGTGACACCCAGTGGCCCAAAAAAGCA